TGCTTCCCCCTCTCCCACTCGCCCTGCTTGTGTTCCTGCTCTCACTATCTCTCTCTCTGTCAAATAAATAAATAAAATCTTAAAAAAAAAAAAAAAGAGTATATAAGTGATGTAAGAAAAATGTCTCTTCATTTTCTGTAAAACTGAGGAAGGCACATTTTATTCCATGGCTCTACAAGAGTCCTACAACAAATTTCTCTGTTCCTCACCAGCAAATCATGCTTCTCTCTTAGGGACCTCCCATGTTTCCTCATTTCATTTGAGATTCGTAAGATCCATTGCTTTGCCTATGTTGCCAGGAAGCTCAGAGCAAGGCTTCATAGACAGTAGCTCAGCCTCCCTTAACCTAAGGCTCTTGGACAGTAATTATCTCCCCCTCTTTCCTTTTGAAAACTTTTGTTACCTGTGTCTTCTTTCAGAAGCTTTCCAAAACAATTTCTAAAAGTAGGTGGGTATCACAGATTAATGGGCGAAAAATGAATTTTCAGAACGGAAAGGGGTTTGTTTCATGGAAAGTTTCTTTTTTGTAATGGTCTTTGAAGAATTAAACAGAAGAATTTATGGAAAATGCCAAGTACAGTGCCTGGGACATAGCAGGTCTGCACTAGATGGTAATTCCTACTATTGTTGTCATTATTTCTAGCACAGGCTAGACTTTATAGAAAGACTGGACTGTACATTTGTAATTGCTCTAGATTGCTTTCCAGAATGTGTAGTGTTGAACTGAAATGACCTTTGGCTTAAAGTTAGGGCGGTTCATCCAAGGAGGGCTGCCTTGGCTTGCTTGTCTCTTAGAGTAGCTCCATGAGGGCTTTTCTTACTAATTCTCAAATGACGGTGGATGACCACTGCAGAAGCCTCAAGATTTTCTGAGGTCATCAACTCGGGGGTTGGTGACTAAGACTTCTATAACTCTGAGGTCTTCACTTCCTGATTTATCTGTAAAATGACCTGAGCATCCTCCCCCGGAAAGTCCCCTAAAGCCGATTTCCTAGTTTGGGCTGGCTCTTGCTTGATCGTATTAGGCTCTTACTTTCTATTTTTCTTTCCCTTGCGACTATTAAATTCAGTTGCCTGGGGGTATTTGTCAGGGAGGGAAGAGTTAAAGTGCCTTGGTACTCTGCGTGGCCGTTAGCCCCCCATCTCAGGGGCTCAGGAAGTGAGAAGCAAGTTACCTGCGACTGAGACTGGATGGTGTGTACCATGGCTGGAGAGTCATGAGTCTGCCCAAGCAACACCTGAGGGCCCAGCGTGGTTTTCGGGTGCCTTTGGCTGAGGCGGAGAGCACCACGGAGCAGGTGTCGGTCAGATTTCCACGCTGTGGGGAACGTGCACACCAGCTTTCACGCAGTGGTGATTTTCCCCACCTCCACCCTTCTCTGCCAAAACAATTGTTTAAAAGAGGAAGCTCTTTGGGTCATAAAATGTCATCTGGTAGTTAGTATATGGCCATATAGACCTACTGGATTATACAGTAGCCTGATTGGCAGGAAGTAGGTGATTCATCAGAAAAAAAATAATAATAATGAAAAAAATAAACTTACCAAAATGAACTTCCTCTTTCAAACTTTGTTCCAACTCATCCTTTAGAACCTTCTTGCAGCCCCTTAGAAAAAAAAAATAACCAGTAGGGGACTAATGCAGTATTTCGAAGAGATGTAATCTCAGCCCTGTCTCACCACATGCTTCATAGTTAAAAAGAGCAAGCCCCATGCTGTCTGTCCCCAGTGGGGCCAGGCTTAGGGTGTGGCCACTGCCTAGAGGGGACTTGGAGCATCTGCCACCTTGAGAGATTTCATGTTCAGACGGAAGTATCCACAGAGGCCTTCAGCGAGGTGTTTTGGATGTTGCACATGTCCCCCTTTGATAGAACATCCCATTCACGCGGTCCCCTTCATTTTGTTTGCCTCACAGGTCCAGGAGGCTGCGAGTCAGGGCCTGAAATTCGTCGGTGTCATACCTCAGTACGGTTGCCCTGTGAAGTCAGCAGGCAGCAGGCCCCCAGCAGACACCAGAGCTGCGGAAAAGGAGCCGGGCAGGTGCGGGGATGACAAGGATGCAGGCGCTCCGGCAGGGACAGACAGCGGCCAGGAGCCAGGCCAGGGCCCCAGAGGGGAGACGCCCGTTGCCGAGCAACCCAGCTTGCCCCCCGGAGAAGGGGACGGTGCAGAATGGTCTCCACACAGGATGAGCAAAGCTCTGGATGGGCCGGATGGTGACCTGTTGGAAGTGCGTGAGGAGCCACTCTCGGGAAGTAAGTATGTCAGCACAGGGACTTTTGACCCACTTACAGAGAGGCTAACAGCTTTCCAGTAATCCCCATGGCATTTTAGGAAAAAGAAATGGAATGAGAGTGTACAGACAGCAGTCCATCCCGCAGGAGAAACTGGATTTGTCTGGGCCTCCTGACTGATTGCTTACTGCCATCGTGACTTCCGGGACAGCAGAACCACATGAAATTGACTTGTGGTTGCTCCAACATGTCATATTTGAAGTGGATTCTAGAACTTGAGGGGTTTTATCCCCACACTCTTGCACTGCCCTCAAACAACCTCGCTCTTAGCACAGGAAGCGTTCATGTGCCGGGCACCAATGCAGAACCTATGCTCCACTTCTGGTACACTTACTTTGAGTATCTCCCTAAAGAGAGAAATCAAGAAAGACAGTTTTGAGGACGAATTGTGCAGGAAACTGGTGATTCAACCCACTAGGCTGTAAAGAACCAGATTTCACGAGTGTGTATAGTTGACGGATCAGCACTGTGGAGAGAACATGGCCAGGGAGAGGCCCCCGAGATGTGAATCCTCTTACATTGTAACAGCCGCTAGAGCGTGCATGTTAGGATGGCCGTTCCAGATAACAATACAACAACGATGATAGTAGCCAGCAGTTATTGGTACTTCCTGCGTCCCAGGCCCTGCACCAGGAAGCACTTCACATGACTGATCTCTTAGTTCTCTCTATAGCACCGTGATGTGGGTCTGCTGTGGTATCGTTGCCCATTTTACAGCTGAGTAGACTGCGGCTTGGAGAGTAAATCTTCACCCAGGCTGGAAACTGGCAGAGCTGGTCTGTGAGCCAGCTGCCTTAACCACCATCCCATTATACCTCTCTACTCGGTCTCCCGTGTGTGAGATGCTCATAGACTAACAAGATTTACTGAGGCCCTCAGTTTATGGTGAGTGAAGTTTCTGTCCATTTCCCTGTAATTCCCTTTCCTCATCTTTCTCTGGAAGAATCTAGCATCCAGCTATTTCCTTAGAGCCGGGCACTCGTATGAGCTTGGTGGCCTCTTCCAGCCTTTGGAAGGTGCACAAGCAACAAGACCGCCAAGAGATCCCCAGGCCTTGAGAGGCCTTTCTCCTTAGCCTTAACCTTCCTGGTTAATGTTATTATTCACTTACTGATTCTTGAAATTAGCCTCTTATTTATTTATTTATCTGAGAGAGAGAGAGGGTAGGGGGAGGAGTGAGGGAGAGGGACAAGTCGACTTCTTGCTGAGCATGGAACCTGACGGAGGGCTCGATCCCACAACCCTGAGACTATGACCTAAGCTGAGATCAAGACTTGGTTGCTTAACCGACTGAGCCACCCAGGGGATCCAAAACTAGCCTCTTATTAATGATGAGGAACAGTTTATGCTTTGAGGATAGAAAAGAAGGTGGAACAGTTTCTTTTGTTATATTAGGTCAGTACTTCCTGAAAAGGAAACTGTGGGATGGTTCATTCTGGGCTTATTTACAAAGTTGATTTAGAGGGGGAGATTGGCACTGCCTCCATTCTGGGATATATTATGACTGTTGTGTAATCAAGGTCTGGATCCTTCTCAAATATGTACTGAAGTGTAAAATGTCTCATTTTACACTGTTTGAGGTGGACTTCTGCTCCCTCCAGAGTAGCTGAGACCCTGTGTGTGCCTCCTGATGAATGTCTAAGTCTTATCCCAGAAACTTGCATCTTGTCATTGGTGTTGGGCTGGATGTGTTGCTCTGAATCCCCAGAAGGAAGATAGGCCTCCTTGGAGGAGGGTGCAAGGGTGAGGGTTCAGGGCAGGCATAGGCCCTCCAGGAGAAAAAGGCAGGAGTCATTGAGAGGCAGGTAGCACTGTGGTTAAGAACCTAGACTCTGGGGGCACCTGGGTGACTCAGTCGGTTAAGTGTCCGCCTTCAGCTCAGGTCGTGATCCTGGGGTCCCAGGATCCAGCCCCGGGTCGGGCTCCCCTGCTTCTCCCTCTCCCTCTCCCACCTGCTGGTGCTCTCTCTTTCTCTCCCTCTCCCTCTCAATAAACTTTAAGAATCTAGACTCCACTTATATCCATTCCATTTGCCACCTTCTACCTAGGCAGTCTTGGGCAAGTTACCCTCCTGTGCTTCAGTTTCTTACCCTGGTAAATAGAGACGGAACAATAGTTTCTTGTTGAAAGGTTAAGTGAGGGGTACATTTAAGGCACTCAGCACTGCTTGACTCTAAGTGTGAACTGTTTTTATTTCAGGTCTCTGAAATTTTGGCAGCTCGTTGCTATCCTTTATTCCTCACTGCGTGGCATAAATGAGCCTTTGGACTTGTTTCATCAGCTCATGAACACACAGGCATTACTGGTGCAAATACATGCCTTGAGGGGGATGGGCAGACAGCAGTCACGATGGTGGCATCTCTCTGGGTGAACCGGTCTAAGTTCTTCCGATGTGCCATCTTGATGGTGCCTCACAACAGCTTTATGATGGCGGATGTGATTATTAAGCCCATTTCGCAGATAAGGAAAATCACCTTCCATGCCCTCATGTAGTGAAATTTTATCTCCTAGCTTGAGCATCCAGCCTCCCGAAGGCCGGACAGGCAGGGGCCCTGTCAGCATTGATCATGGCCTTCACCTGACCCCAGCTTCTCTCCTAAATCTCTTTCCTGAGAAGTCTTACCATTTCCTTGCACCATCACCCTGCCCCCCGCATCCCCCCAGCTTCACCTCCCTGCTGCTTGCTCAGCTTTCAGCTTGCCTTTCTCTCAGGGCCCCCTAAGGAGGGTGAAGTGTTTTTACTCCTCTTTCTGCCAGGTGGGCTTAAATAGGCAATCACAGCAAGACAATTAAAAAAAATCCAGAGGGAGTCTCCCTCTTTCCCCCTCCTTCCCCTCGTTTAATTTATTTCCTTTATAGGAGGCCTAGGGGAGCCGGGTCTAGGCTGCAACTGCTCACATAGGGCTTGCCAGCGAATTCGCCATCCAGACACAGGGCATGCGGGCCCTCCCCAACCCCGTGGGCTCTTGAACGGCCGCTCTGATCCAGAGGTTATGCTCCCCTTGCCACGCAGGTCCCTCTGGAGACCCATCATGTGGTTCTCTTCCTGATCATTGACTTATTTCCTGGTCCTGGAGAATTTCCTGAGGGTTCAGTGTCCTTGCTGCACAGGAATCCCCTGAGCTGGTGCAGGGACAGCCCGGGGCCCCACTCCTGGACGCTGCCCTTCCCACACTTGCCCCTGCCTTATGGTGAACACACAGCACCCCCAGCAGCTCTGCTCAGAAGAGCACAAATGGCCCCTTGTGATGCATTTCTGTTGATGGGAGCATGCTTTCTTCATCTGTAATGAACAGGCCAGGTGGGGAAGGCCTGTGCAGGGAAAGGTTCAGAAGGCGCCCCAGATGTCCACCTGTCACTTCTCTCCTGGCCTGCAACATTCCTGTCTGTCCTTCCCTCAGCGTCTCTGTTGCAACATCTTCAGTCAGAGAAACAAGGAGGCCAGAAAGGTCCACACAAATTCAGATTGTTCTCACTGTCACTGAAATAATAATCAAACATCTTCCAAGCGCTGCCCTTCCTATCCTGTGCCTAGTCACTTAAAATGCTTAGAAATGCCAGCCAGAAACCTGAGCCAGTGACCTCAGTTGTATTTTATTCAGTAGGCCTCCCTGGCAGCCAGCTCACTGTGTGTGGGGGGGAGGAGGTGTCCTCCTGAGTGTGGCCTTTCTGATATGTGGCCCCCCTCCCGCGCTGGGCCAGCGCCCTCCCCTCCCCGTGCCCCCAGGATGGTTCTACCCTGTGGTTCTGCCTCCTCCTGGATCTGCCACCTGCCACCATCTTTCTGGCCTTTCAGTCAGTCCATTATCAAAGAGCTGTTGAGCTCCCAGCTGTGGGCAGCAGCTCCTGCTTTCTGTGTACTGATGAAATTAGCCTCTTGTTAGATTTGGGGACAGCGCAAGGTTTAGGGTTGGAAAGACTCTTGGCTTTGCCGCTTTCCAGCTTGTGATGCCTGGGGGATCCGCTTAAGGTTTCTGGGCATAGAACCGATGTGGCCCCTCGCGTGGGCTGGGAGAGTCACATCAGATGGTGGAGGTGAAAGTGCCCGTGGCTACCGCTGTCCTTGCCAGGGGATTCCCGTGGAGCCCTGCGTATGCCGTGGTTCCCCTACTTTGTCCTCACAAACAGGCCCCACCCAGGCCCAGATGTGCCTTGCTGGTCGTACCCGCGCCTGACAGAAGTCTGAAGCAGTTTCTTTCAGATTCAGGAATCTGGATGGGCTTCAGGCGCTTCTGCCCTCTTGTCCCACCACAGAGCCCACAGCCCTGCTTCCCAGTGCAAACCTTTCGTCTGAGCCCCCCTGCCTGTGACCTCAGCAGACCTTAGCTCCCACTCAGTCCAACTACCAGGTCAAGTCCGACTCCCACATGTTCCTTCCCACCCAGCCAACTCACCAGCCTCCTCCTCCTCCCACTCTAGCCCTTGGAGGCCCATGCTGTAGCCAGACGCTGAACTCTCTCCTCCCTCCAGCCTGGAGGTCTCTTGGAACACCCGGACCCAACCAGCTTGCCTGCTCCCTGCCAATCACAGGCTCCCTGGGGCCTTACTTGCAGACAGACTGCAGACTTCTGTCCTGTGCCTAAATCCCCACTGCCTGGCATGGGCTTCAGAACTGGGCATCTCCCTCTTTCCTTCCTGCTCCTGAGGAGCTTAGCAAGGCCCTAGCGGGCCTGGCCATCAGGCTGGCAGCACCCAGGAGGCCCCAAGACCCCGCCTCCTCCCCTAGCTTGTTGCACTTGTCTGGCTCAGGTCAATCCAACAAACATGTATGTATCCCCTGTCATATTACAGGGACTTTTCTGCACAGGGGGGGATCTAAATAGCATGAGGCAAGCTCCCCCTGTGTCAGGGAGGAAGAGAAAGACACGAAGACAAATAAAAATAAAAGGCAAGACCGTCTTGATGCTCCTTGGGTGCTCTGCCAGTCTGATTCTTCAGCTGTTCTCAGAACATTCTCAGAAACAATGCCTTTCCCCCTCCTTTGGGACTTTCTGTCCCATGTCTGGAAAAATCTTCCAGCTGGGGTCATGGCAGAGTCACAGAGCAGCTGAGAAAATTTAAACAAACTTGGGACTTCTTTTTGGAACCCTCAGTGCCTGCTCATGTGATGATGTGTGCTGGAGAATCAGAATATTAAAACATCAAAGGGCATCATTTGGGGACAGTTTCTCTTGGCCGGTTTCCATGTGAGTAGTGAGAGGATTGTGGCCAAGGCTCCAGCGGGAAAGGGGAATTAACTAAAGGGTTATGCATCTGAAATCAGGTTTCTCCCAATATTTCATCGCTACTAATGCTTTGGAGGCTCTTGAGTCCAGCAGCATTTCCTTCCCTTCCTGACAAATTTATTTCTGTCTCTGGCTTCAGCCCTCTTCCCTGGGGAAGATCCTGATGGGAGGGCTGGGGCTCTGTGAGCACCGCGCTGTCTACCTTGTCTGGCAGTCTCTGCCTTCCCTTCACCCCACGTCCAGCAGCCCCCCTTCCCCTTTTTCTGTTTCATTACGCATTTGGGAAAGTTGTGTTTCTGTCTTGCCATGTGAGTGGGGAATCCTTCTGGGTGATAAAGTGTTGTCATGTGTTTTTGGACTTTGGCCGTGGTCAAATTCTCCACTCGCCTCTCCCGTGTAGAGGCTGTGATTTCTTTTTCTTTTTAATCTCTATGTGTTTGTGCTTGACTAGAGCAGACTGTGATGATTGGTACTCTGGCCCACCCTGGGGTCACCTGAGGACAGTGGGCTTAGCCTCTGCCTGCAGGCGTTCTCTGGAATGGGAACATGCCCCAGCAGGCCAGACAACCCCAGGGAATTCGTACCTCAGGAGTGGCTCTCAGTTCCTGAGGATAAATGCCCAGGCTTCCTTGCGCCTTGGTAAGGCAATCTGAGGTGTATTCTGTACAGTGTCTCAGGGGCCTCTGTTAACTGAGTCCCAATTACTATAGCAGTAACCTGCTCATTAATGCACCCTTCACTGGCTTCCCTTGCTTCCCTATTTCCTACCCCTACTCCCTCGCTCTGTTTCCTGGGATCACGTCCCAAATAAACTACTGGCACTCAGAAACTTACAGGGTTTGCTTTGGAAGAAATCCAGATGAAGTCAGGGACTCACTAAAGCATCGCTTATCTTGTCTTTAGTAGCCGGGGCTTTTATTTGAACCCCTAGCACGTAAGGACTGGAGAAGGCCTGATCCTGTAGTTCACATCCTGTCCCCCTTAGTTCCAATCCATTGCTTGATTCCGCTCCATTACAAGCCTTCCTTTGCTCGACTCCATTCCTCCAGTGTGTATTTCAAAGTCATGAATATAGTCTAGTGATTACCACCTCCGTACACCAAGACCTAATTTCTTGCGTGAAAGCATCTACTGGTGAGAGGTGCCTTCCTGAGTCAGGCGAGTGGACTGAGAAAGGTAATTTGGAGTGGGGATCATAAATAGGCCAGATTCGGTTGTTTAAAATCCAGGTGGCCACTTTTGAAGATGGGCACCTTTCTTTCCTAATTGGTTCTACCCAATGGAAGACCTGAAATGGTCCCCCCGGTAGCTTAACTCTTGCTGATGACAAAGTGTCATGGCCTGGCATTGCTCCCCAGAGATCTTGGCTGCTGTTTGCTCAGATGGAGCTGTAAAAGACTTCCTTTGCCCGGAATACAATACCTATTGGGATAATTTTAGATGTTGTGTGGATGGACATATTTGGTGTTAATGTGCCTCATCATTCCCTTCTGTTTATAGCAAGTGGTAGCTGTTTGGTCATGAAGCAAAGTTTCCTTTTTAAATTCATTTATTTAACTAAAGGACAGTGATTGTGCTTAAAAGAATAATAATTCAGCTAATGTTTGGATACTGCAAAATTGTGAGAGACTGAAGTATGGGAGATCGCGTCCCAGACTGTGGAACGAGGCCCGGTCTCCCCTGCAGGGAGCATGACTGTGCTGTGTCCTTTTTGCTAATGTCAACCATTGTTTACGACCTTTAAAATATTTCTTTGAAAGAAGGGTGGGGATTTTCTTATTATTCCAATAGATATTTTTGGAAACCAAAGCATATTCCTGACTAGCCTGTGTGAGCAAAGCTTTTTAAGCTGAGTAAACTCTGATTGCTTGACTAAATGAGTAACACAAAAATAGACCTTCAAGACTTAGATTGAAATTCCAGGTATTTGTTCCTCGAGGCCGATGCTTCTCGCTCGTGGCCAGCAGCACGTACGGCTGGCACGGGTCAGCTGCCGGGTGGTAGTGAGTATTGATTTTTGAAGAACTGAGCTATAAATGAAGGAAGGAAAAGCTCAGAGCTCCACTCCCGGTGCCATCTACCTACCACTCCAGGCAGGAACCCCCATTTACGGGAACATACTTATTTTTACATATCAATGGTGTGTTTTTGATGTACTTGATTAAGTATTATGGTTTTGGCCCCAGGAAACATCGCTGCAGTTTATAAATAGTGAGTTCAGGGGTGTACAAGGTTCCTGGAATTAAAGCAGTATTTTTATTTTTATGTGTCTCTGTATATGCACCTTTTTAAAAAAGACCAGCTCTTACCCAAATATGTCCACTTTTTTCCCCCCAAAACACCTCTGTATGAGTTTCTAGAAATGTCTACAATGTCTTCACAGACACCTGACTGTACAAACTGATCCCAGATAACAGTTGTTCATCATCATATGCCAGATTCAAAACCCACGTCCCTCACTGGAAGCTCAACCTTTGACGTCCATTTCCCTTTCAAGGCTCCCTAACTTACAACCTGGAATCAGGTTTTATTATTCGGCAACAGTGCACCCTAACAGAGAGTTTACCTTTGACAGCATTTCTCCCAGCTCCTAAGAGGCTCCACTAGACCCGAGGAGGCAGGTTTTTATCACTGTTTGACCTCTTCTCTCCCGCTTCCTTTACAAATCCCAACAGAAATGGAGATCCTCGCCCTTTTCAACAAACCGAAGAGCCATCAGAAATGCCGGCAATACTATCCCGTCAGCATTCCTCTCCGGGTCTCCAAGAACGGCCAGACGGTGAGCGGTTTGGACGCCAACTGGTTGGAGCACATGAGTGACCACTTCCGGAAAGGAGGCATGCTGGTGAATGCGGTCTTCTACCTTGGCATGGTCAATGGTATGCAAGTTACAAACCTTGGGCGGCCCTCACCAACTCTGCTTCTCTTTTCATCTTAGCCCGTCTTCGGAGCCTGCCCCATTCAGAAAGCTCCGCAGCTGATAAACTCGCTGCATTTGATTTCTCCTTAACACATTTGGAGGAATTGTCTACAAAACCCACCACCTGTGCTCCCTGAACCTTTCTAGGAGTCAGCCAGGTATCTTCTAAAATGACAGCGAAAGGGAAATGATTCTGTGTTTTTGATGGTGGCCTCAAATCCATGTTGCTTTTAAAGCCTTTTAAAAAGGTGACTTCCCGTTTGTTAATTACCCCCTGGGATCATGCCGCTCCAAAAGTGCAAATTGTTTGTAGACACTATTACTGTTGGAAGTAGCAGTAGAAGCACCTTGGAATTAACCCCAGAGAAGTGAATCGAACTGCCTCGTTTCTGTAAGCTCTGTAGAGACACACACTGTCTCTGGGTCTCACGGCACCCAGTGCCCCCTCCTCAGTAATGAGTTCCCTCTGGGGGTGGCTGCATGGAGTAGCCCTATTGACGGCCGCTCTTCTAAGGCAGAGAGAGGGTGTGCCCACAGCGGGGAAGTGTGTCAGGCAAAGAAAGGGTTTGGGGTTAACACAATGGCAAGCTGAGTCACTAGGGTGCATCAAAGCTGGGAGGCAGTCTGGGGAGTGGGGCCAACATGCCAGCATGTAAGGATCCTGAGGGCTACCAGTCAGCAGGATTCCTAAGTGAAATGTAACACCAAATCTGTTGATCCCAGCCGAAGCTGGCAGGGGGAATTGACAGCACCGTGTCTTGGTTGTCGAGCAGTTTTCTCTCCAAGAATTAGCAGAGTCAGGAACAGAGTTTGGATTCTACCTTATTTGCAATCCTTGAAATGCCAGCAAACATCTGCGGAAGAGACATCAGTCTTAATTCGGAAGGTACACGCTTTAAATCATCAGAAGCCTTGGAACACTGTACAGCACAGACAGGTCTTAATTTTGGATGCGAGTCCCTTGTTCCTATCTAAATATCTATATCTCATGTTAACATGTTAATACGATAGCAGCAAGCACTGTAAGTATAAGGGGCCAGAACCATCTGTGGAATGGGTGAATGATGTAAGAAAGGTGGCTGGCTCGTTAAGAATACTGTCAAGCAGGGCGCCTGGGTGGCTCAGTTGGTTAAGCGACTGCCTTCGGCTCAGGTCATGATCTTGGAGTCCCTGGATCGAGTCCCACATCAGGCTCCCTGCTTGTCAGGGAGTCTGCTTCTCCCTCTGACCCTCTTCCCTCTCGTGCTCTCTGTCTCTCATTCTTTCTCTCAAATAAATAAATAAAATCTTTAAAAAAAAAAAAAAAAGAATACTGTCAAGCAGCACTGTCCAACAGAACTTTCTGTGATGATAGGAAAGTTCTGTATCTGTGCTGTCCAATATGGTAGCCACCAGCCACACTGGCTATTGACCACTTCAAAGCACATAAATATAAATTACTGTATGTTCTTAGTGGCTAGTTGTATATTGGTGTGGTTCTAGGGTATACATTTCATTAATACAACTAATGAAGAGCCAATTTGGCTCTCTGCTAGCAAGTTGGTAGCCTCCCTCTGTACAAGGAGGCCTTCCCTGGGGGCTTGGGGAGGTTCTGGAGGCCAGAGAACATCACAGTCTGTTTTGAGATGCACCGTAAAACACTAGTGGCATCTACTTGCAACAGATGTTTACAGCCTTGATTCACTGGCCTTAGGGGAGGCCGGGGAGGAGGCCCTTCGCTCCTGCCTCCTGCGGGGACACCCCATCACCCATCTTGGGTGGTGTCAACGACTCCTTTTATTTCCCCTTAGGCCCGTAGAGGCTCTCTGTGGCCATACGCCCTTTTAAATATCTCCCTGGGAAACTGATGGTTAGTTGTACTAACATCTTAAAGATGTTCAGTGACTCACTGAGAGGAGAGGCTACATAGGCAGCCCCGCTTTGGAGAATTCAGGTGTCAAAAGGGAAATTTTCTCTGGTCCTGCTGCCCAGCATGTCTGCGGCAAGCTGAGGACACCTCGAAAGTTCACAATGCCATTTATCATCTTTTGGGCCATTATGGCTTTGGCAATCAAGGCCACTCCCTCCTCCTTCCTCCTACCCTGTTCTCTGACCTCGAGTCCAAAAACACAGATAATTCATAGAGTTTTTTCTTCAGATTTGACTGGAGTGTTTGAAATGCTGTTATATCCTCCCTTGGCTTTAGCTGCATGAAATTCAGCCCTTCTGCCTGGAAGACAGAACATGAAATTTCCCCTGGCAAGTGCAACTGGAAGCCGAGCCCCAAGCTCCACCGCAGCTGCCCGGCTTGGTCTCGGGGATGGCTGCAAAATTCTCAGAACAGCATTTATTTAAACCCACTCAAAATCCAAATGCAATTTCACCCTGTGTGCTTCTGATGGGAGGGGAATGTGACTTGGGAGTAATGCTCAGTGGGTTAGGGTGTTTCTGCTCTGGAAAAGCCCAAGTTTTCCGTTGGCCAGGGATGAAATATGCATATGCTCTTTTCCCAGAATTAAAAAAAAAGAAGGCAAGCTGATCATAATTCTAAAAAGGGACCTATTTCTAATAAGATAATTAGTGTCCTTACAAGTAAACCTGGCAGAGTTGGAAGCACATCTTTAAGCTGTTTACCATCTGGAAAAACACCAGTCTTGATTCTTAAATGGATATTTGTACTCTGAAATATTTCCCACAGAGTCATAAAACTCATGAGAACTTTGTCCCATAAACAGGGTGATGTTTTAGCCTGAATTATTCAGTTAAGACTCCAGCTTCTGTTTTCAAGCCTTTACCCCCAGGACATGGAAAGACTTGAACGGTCCTTAAATTTGGGCCTTTGCTGAGTCTCTAGGCTCCTCTGCTGGGGTCAATTATTAAGCCTTAGAAGGACCAGGTGTCTTGGGCTGGGGAGGCTGTGCCCTTGGGCCCTGGCAAGCCAAAACACAGATAAAAGTGAAGCATAATTATGCTAATGGACACCTAGCAATTACTCTGTGCTGGTGCTGGTCTAAGCAGTTCAAACATAGGAACTCATTTAATCCCCATAACTCAGTGAAGCAGCTACTGTTGTTATCCCTGTGGCACGGCTGTGGAAACTGAGGCACAGAGTGGTTAAGGCATTGCCAAGGTTAGTAAGTGGCAAGAAAGTAGCAGGATGAAAGAAGGGGAAAGGGAGGGAAAAGGGACATGAGGAGGAGGTAAAAGAAATGACCATGTTGGCAAGAGGTTTAGCCTCCCAGGGAGGCCTTGGTGGCCCTGGGGAAGGGAGGGGAGCTCCAGAGTCACCTTTAGGGAAGTAGCAGGACCTGGGTTGCCAGCCTCCTGTGTGGATGAGTCCAGGGGTAGGTCAGACAGCCGGGCGGACAGAAACACAGAAACACCACCCAGTGAGACAAAGGCCAGAATCTCTGCTTCCAGAGGGTGGGAGAGGCCAGGAGGGGAATCCTTCTGCCATTGGTGAGGAGTCAGGTGGCTATCCCCAAGGGGAAGGGCAAGGTGGACCTGGGTGCCCACCATCTGAAGACCCCCCCAGGAGCCTGCTTTCTTAAAACCAAGGGCCTCCAGGCCGGCAGAATCCCTGCCACCATCACTGGCTACCAATGCTCCTTGCCCGCCCTGGTTCTCCCTTTGTCCCCTGGCTGGCCCTGTCCTTGCTCTGCATTCCTTATTCTACCCTTGCCCTATCCTTGTCCCCACCTCCCCATGCCCTCGCGCCATGCTCCCTTGGCCCTGTCCTGACTCTCCTTCCCTCACTCCCCCGGCCCTCCCCTCACCCTCTCCTGCCCCACAGTCCTTACATCTCTGGCAGTATCATCCTTACCCAGCCCACATTCAGATGTTTTCTGTTGTTTCCAAAATGTCCTTTGCAGCGGGTGGTTCAGACCAGAATCCAGTCCACCAGGTTGTGCTGCATATGGTGACCATGGCCTCACTTCTCTTTGACCTAAAAGAGTCATTTCTTTATGACCTTCACTGCTTGAAATAAACCCAGCCTCTTACGCTGCAGAATGTCCTGCATTATTTGTCCGGTCTGTGCCTCGTGATGTCATTTACCTAATTCTCTAGCCTCTATATCCTGCAAACTGGCATTTCGTTCTAAGACCTTGATAAATGAAGCACTGTGACTGCAGTACATTCCAGATGATGTTGGGTTTTACACGCTGCACCTCACCAGGAGACACGTTATACCTGGATGGCTCTCCTTTGCTAGCCTTTTGAAAGATTGTCTTCCCCGAGAACGTCCGCGTCTAAATCCAAATGGCATTTGGTATTTTTATCATCTTTTTTGATGCCTAGCATAACCTACATTATTTTATATTTGCGAAATACACCTGTAAAAAATGTACCTATTTCAAATAAAATACACATAGAGATACATGTTTTATACAGACATACTTACAAGCCCTCGGGTGGGTTCTGCGTCCTATACTTCTTAGCACCCCAGGGGTTGTAAACCACACACCGTATACAGAAGGTGATCGATAAAAGTTTCCGGATGATGTTCAGTAATGCCGATGGAGATGAGGGGAGAAGCTGGTGTTAGAGTGCGCATCACAGGAGCCTGGGGGATTGAAGAGCTAGGTGTAGGCGGAATGGAAAGGAAGGGAGATGAGGCAGTTCCAGGTGCTTCCAGCAGCCACTCCCTTGGAACATGGCCATCTCTGGGAATGTTTGGCCTACTGATTATAGGCATGGCTCCTATTTCAGAGGAACCACTCACCAATGTTGGGGGGAGAGTTTCCTTATGCCATAAATGCATTTTCCCTTGTATCCATAGCACATCTTCAAATGAACTTTTTTTTTTAAGATTTTATTTATTTGTTTGACAGAGAGAGAGACAGTGAGAGAGGGAACACAAGCAGGGGGAGTGGGAGAGGGAGAAGCAGGCTTCCCGTGGAGCAGGGAGCCCGATGCGG